ATATATATATATATATAGTTAAAATCAAAACTTGCTCAGTCTGTTAGTACAAATAAAAGATACTAAGAGTCTGATCAAAATACGAGGCAGAGCTGATCCTAGTGTCTTTTTGCGCCCCCCCTCACAGAGTAAAGTGAATGTAATACAATGTCGGTTTAATGCATACGTGAGAGTAGGGGAGAAAATTATCCGGTCACTGCATAACGAATGCATCATGGGAACTTCTGGATTGCCGAACTCTCTTCCGGTTCTATATTCCCAGGCAACTTTTGATTTTCAGAAATTTAAATGCAATATCACTTGTTATTTTCTGCCTACTTAATTACTGTTCTTTTATTGTCTTCTTTCCTTAATAGCATATTTTCTCCTATTCTCTCACACTTAGTAACTCCTTGCGTCTTAGTGGCTTTATTATCTTGCATGAAATGATATATTTTTTTTTAAAGTTTAAACTATTTGATCATTGGAGAGAGTCTAATATTGAGACTAAAATGTCCAGGAACCTTGCAACTCTTCTCCTCCGTCTTGAATTTCGCCTAAATTAAAAAACAAAACAAACAGATGATACTGTCCAAAATTCCAACTTATAAAATAATAATAATAATAATAATAATAATAATAATAATAATAATAATAATAAAACAAAAAAGTATAGATGAACTTGAATGTCTTGATATAAACAATTTAAAATCTACTAGAATTTTATTCAAAATTCATGCAATATTCTATACAATACGTGAAGTCTGCTCTCCTATATGGCAAAGAGCGCTGGACAGTTTCATTACAAATGAAAAATAAAAGACTTCAGGAAACCAAAATGTGTTTCTAATGACGTATGTTGAGAATACCATGGACACAGCGTTCAATAAATGAGGAAGTTCTAAGCTGAAGTTTTTCAGACCCACAATATGAATAAAAGACTTGGAGAAGTTAACACTCACAGGACAATATTCTATCCCGTAAAACAAAACATGATTTTATAGACGTTTTAATTTTGATGATTTAAAAATGCAGAATTCTTTCTTACATGCGACAATAGAGTAAATTGTAGAAATAAAATTCGTGGGTTTCCATGCAGAAAATGTTAGGCAAAATAAGGACAAAGTGGAAAAAAAATTGTGTGGCGTATTTCGTCCTTTTCGAACTTTATCAGGCTAAAGTAATGTTTTATTGATTTAATTATATATGCATACGAAGGGGGGGGGGTGAATATAAAAAAATAGTTGATTATAATTATGAATAGAGAATAAACGCTAAAAATTTTGGAATGTTGAAATTTTAAACTTTTGAATTTAAATCTTTTTAATCGCTGATCATCTAGAGGAAATTTGCGTCCAGATTTTCACAACTTTTCATCTTTCTTAGAAGATCTTTTATTATCACAATATGAGTTTTTTTTTTATCAATTCACCCCAAGCATAATGCCACTCAGATGCAAGGGACTATTGGGAGTGAAAGAGAAGGGATTTGAAGGAACTGGAAACACAACCCTAAACATCAAACATGGGATTAACTTCTACTCCTGTTAAAAATATTGGGGAGGAGTGGAAACCGAGCGATATGGGAATCTACCTATACCTAATGAGAAAACGAATAAATACTAAATAAAATTTAAGTGTGTAACTATATGTTTTATTGGAATAAAGTATCGTTGCCGACAGTATACTTTGGACACAGATCACCAGTGAGGAAACATGGACGATTCTATTATTAAATAAGTAGATCACGTGATCATAAAGGAAAACGTATAAATGGGAATTAGCGTGACGTCTAAGTGATCGCTATCCCCTATACTATTTATCTATACTGATCACTATACGAATTACTATTCGGCAAGTATTTGACCAAGTATTATTAATGCGAGTATTATTTAAAGGTGTTACTACTACCATTACCTGCGTTACAAAGTCTCGTCTACAACGAGAATTTCGGAATTGATAACGAGCATTCGTTGATCTAACGATGTTCAACGAGTGAACGTTCTAACATCAGAAAACTATAAAAGGGATAAAAACAAACACAAAAGCATAAAAAATGAATTAAAATTGGCTAGACTATATATACACACACATCTAATAAAAAAAATTAACTAAGATTTTAAAAATTCTGCGTTCCAACATTTTCAGCGCTCCAACATTTTAGTCTTTCCTATCTATGCATAATTATAACCAATGTTTGCATTTTTATATTTCCATCGCCTTCATACGCATATATAATTTCATCATCATAAACATTATTTTAGCCCGATGAAGTCCTAAAGGTCGAAGCGCGTCACACAAAATATTTTCCGCTATGTTATTAATCCTAATATTGTTCTGATATATAAACATTTTATATATCAGAATTTTATTTTTCTACCACATGCATAAAATATAACTAATACAGTTGCAAAATTAAATCTAACAGTCACATTTTGGATGTTATAAATGGTGTGAGATTTCGTTGTATATTTTTACTTTTAAAGATAAAAAACAGAATTCTTTCTGATATGATACAATCGAGTTAATTGTATAGATAAAAATACTCGAGTAGTCAGTCACATAGAAAATATAACTGATGCAATTGCAGAAGGGATAAATTTAGCCGCCATTTTTTTGACGGTAAGGGGTGTATTAGATTTCTATGGATACTTTTTACTTGTAAAGATTTCAAGAAGAGAATTCTTGCTTACAAGCGACAATGAAGTTAATTGGAGATATAAACATCCAGTATTACTTATACAGAAAATATTACCAATGTTATTACAAAATGAATTCAATATGGCCGTCGTATTTTGATGGTACGGGTCGTGTTAACTTTCTACGGGTATTTTTACTTGTAATGATTTCAAGAACATAATTCTTGCTTACATGCGACAATAGAGTTCATTGTAAAGACAAAAAAAATCTTTGATTACTCCTGTAGAAGAAATAAGCAATGGAATTGTTAAAAAAAGTATACTGACGTACCTTCTTTGCAGAAACGTTAAAGTTAGTTGAGCAACAGTTAAAGTCTGGGATTGAAATGAAGAGGAGAAAGCAGTTGATGCCTGTATTAGACATTTATTCCATACCCACATTTTTTTTCCCTTTTAATACACTTCCAGGATAAATTCACTCATTTAAATATTTTCAAGGATTAGGAATTGACCTGCCCCCACCACCAATATCGATGTTTATTTTAAAGATATCAGTCGATTTTAATCTACTTCCTAAGCTAAGTATCCTTTTTTCACAATTTCTAAAATGTTTGATTTTATTAAAAAAAAATAAAAATGTCATTGTATTAATTATAAAAATAAAAATCCAGCATGTATAATCGAGGCAAAAAAAAATCTATTATTAACTATAAAAATAAAGGCCATAAACCAGTTTTTATTAAATATAAAAAAAAACATTATTTTATTAATTACAAAAAAAAAAAAAATTCCAGCATGAATTATAGTGATAAACCTTAAAAAACGGTATTAATTATAAAAATAAAATTAAATACCTAGTATTAATTGTAAAAATTAGAATAAAAATCAATATTACTTATAAACATTAAAACAAAAACCAGGTATTTATTTAAAATTGAAATAAAAAAAACGATATTAATTATAAAAAATTAAATTAAATACCTAGTATTAATTGTAAAAATTAGAATAAAAATCCAATATTACTTATAAACATTAAAACAAAAACCAGGTATTTATTTAAAAATTGAAATAAAAAAACGATATTAATTATAAAAAATTAAATTAAATACCTAGTATTAATTGTAAAAATTAGAATAAAAATCCAACATTAAAACAAAAAACAGGTATTTATTTAAAAATTGAAATAAAAAAACGGTATTAATTTAAAAAAATAAAATAAAATACCTAGTATTAATTGTAAAAATTAGAATAAAAAATCCAATATTAATTATAAACATTAAAACAAAAACCAGGTATTTATTCAAAACTTAATTTTTTGTAAAAATGTATTAATTATAAAAATCAAAGTAAATGCCTTGTATTAATTGTATAAATTAGAAAAATCTGGTATTAATTATAAAAATTAAAATTGAGTATTAATTATAGGCCTCTAAAAATATATTGTTAATCATCAGTTTATAAACATCTAGTAATAATTATAGGTTTCTCCCTATAACTCATTAATGCCTATCTTACCAAAAATGGAGCAATGCATATTAATCGGTTAAGGAGTAGTGAGATGGATTCTTGGGGATGTATACCTGTGGCTCTGTGCCAAAAACTAAGCTGTACTTAGTAAATAATTACATTCTTACGTAGTGGTATTTCAATGTAGGTAAAAGCCGGTTCTGGTTACTGGAGAGGTGTGGTATAATTGGCAAAATATCAAAAATATTGTCATAAACCATCATTGGAAAAAGAGTCGTTCTTTTTCGATTTCGTAATTGAAATAACAAAACTTTCCAGTTACATATACAATATCCTCAATTGTTATAAGTATCCTTCAAAAAAATTTGTTGGGCCTTTTAAGAGTAGCAATATATCCTGGAAGTTGATTTTAAGTAAACCCTCTAACGAATTCGATATTACACAATATCCGGATGTTTACTTTTTTGCGTCTCTTGGCGTTCGTATTTGTCCAAGAGGTTTAACGACAGACATAAGTCCTGTCCTTCACATCACATGTTACATTCCTGCCATCTTTCATCTAGATATTCTCATTTGTCTCGTGTTTTCACGTTTTGTTCTCGTTACCAGCAGTATATCCGTTAAAACAAGTGACGTTAATTTTCATATCTAATTGATTTGTGTAAATGAAAGACAGTAAAAGCACAATTATTTATATTATATTCTTACACACACACACACACACAGATATATATATATCGTCACCTGAGATTAAAAAGGTTCTTTCGGCAATTTTCGTTTTTTTTTTTTTTTTTTAATCTATGGCTCGTGGCATGAATATCTCAACAATTCTTATATGACCCCTTAAATGTTTATCTAATCTTGAGAAAATTCTACATAGTATTTATAGACATGTTTATATCAATTTATAAATAAGTTACGGCTAACCAAGATTTTTCTTTTATTTTCTTCTTTGTTTCTTTTCTTTGTGTTTTCTTTCTATTTTTCTTTTTTCTTTCTTTTTTACTTTTTTTTTCTTCCGTTATGACCCGTAGCTTTTTTTTTTTTTTTTATCTCTACAACGCCCTATATGACCACTTATAAAACATAAGTGGTCATACAAAAAATCTTCATCTAATCCCGAGAAAATTCTGTATAGTATTTAAAGACATATTTCTATCAATTTATGAAAAAATTACGGTTAACGAAACTTTTAAGTTAAATGTTTCAAAAAAAAAAATAAAATAAATAAATAAAAAAAAAAAAAATACAGATAGAACCTTTTTAATTTCGGGTGACGGTACATATATGTATACACACACACACACACACACATACATACATACATATATATATATATATATATATATATATATATATATATATATATATATATATATATATATATATATATATATATATACATACATACATATTTTTTAATTCTACCCAAGAATAATTCATTATTTTTATACGAATTCACAGTGCTGAATAATTTTTTGAATGAATAAATAATAATTTTAATATACAATGGTATATGATTACCAATCAAATGTCAATTTACTGAAATAAGATAACGATTCAATAACGTTTTCATAAAATGACTGGCTTTTTAAATCCAATAATTTCTCATCAAAAACCTTTTCTTTCATACTGATCATTTTGTGTATTGATATTTGTTTTGCTTATCGCAAATCATCCTTCAGTAAAAAAAAAAATAATAAATAAAATGATAATAGTCAAAACACGCATACATATACATATACATACACGTACACGTACACATCATTTGACCCACGTAAACAAAATATTCACATTGATAAAAGTATGTGTGAATTTGCAGAACAGTTGATTATTATAAATAGCGACTTACCGGTTGTCACGTGTGGCATTCCGACTTTTACCGCCTTTTTTGGTCCCCCACCACCGTCTTGGCTGATAGGAATTTTTTAACTACTTATGTAGTGAGATATATGCCTCCATTATCCAGGTTGATTATTTGTTGGGATTACTAATTCCAGTGTATTTAATGCCTTCTGGAAAACCGTTTTTTTCAGAATCAGTTTTTGTTTTGTTCTGTTTTTTTTTCTTCTTCTGCTTCTTCTCGTGTTTGGTGCTTTGATTTGAATTTATTTTTCGACTGTATATTTAAATTTTATCTATCTATCTATCTATCTATCTATCTATCTATCTATCTATCAGGTTATTCTTATATTATAGGTTATATATATATATATATATATATATATATATATATATATATATATATATATGAAAATGTATATTTATTACTGGTGTATGTATGTATATATATATATATATATATATATATATATATATATATATATATATATATATGTATGTATATGTATATATATTCAGTTAAATATATTATATGTGTATTTGTGGTCTTTTGCGTACAAGAGTATTTCTATGCAAAGAACCAAGGAATAAAACAATTTTCTTGATGGAAAATAAGTATTTATAAACGTAAATTAACTGGACTGACAGGAAAAACCCTCTATAAAACACATAATTGTTAAAATGGCTGTTGATATTGCCTTTGGCAACACGTCAGTATCTGGTGGCTGTATCTTGCCAATCAAAAAGAACTTCGGCATTTAAAGCAGATAGCGGGGGTTCGGATTGGTGCTGGGGTAGAAAGAAAGTAAAATAGAGCAATATATAATGTTTCGTGGTACTTTAAATTCTTTCCGTAGTAAAAATAAACGAAAAAGATTATGCAGAAAAAAAAAATGGTAAAAGATCACGTTTCCTCACTAGAAACGAATTCACATCTTGAAACACAGACATTAGTACTTTTTCCGAAAACAATAGAAGAATGAAGACATTTGTAATGTTTTTGACATGCCCATAACATTCAGATGCTATCTTTGATGCGATTAATTCTCCCATATCTTGAAGGCAAACATGGAAACGGCTATCAATGGGGTTAATCACGAATTAACTATTAATAAAATTCTCAATATTCACTGCGGTTGGTTTTATCTTCTTCCATGTCATTAACTACGCTTAATCTTTCTAGATAGTTACTAAACCTATTTCCTCAAAGATGACGAAGCGACTTCAAGCAACAGAAATGTGGTTCTACAGAAAGATACTGAGGACCCCATGGACAGAAAATGTGAGCAAAGACGAGATTTTTTAGAAAATGGAAACAAAAAGGAAACTTATAATTAACATCAGGAAGAGGCAGTTGAAATTTCTGGGGCACATAATGAGGAAGGAAGGCTTGGAAAATCTGATACTCACAGGACAGATTGAGGAAAAGTGGGACTGAGAGCAGTGCCTAACATATTTGATGATCATGTGCTAATTGATGACAGAACAGGGTTTTGGAGAAACAACAAAAAGACAAAAAAGCTACAAAGGACGGGAAGATGTCGTGGGCCATGATCACGTACATCCTGAAGAACATGGCATGTAAAAGAGGAGAAGACTAACCCTGCTGTGACTCACAGACTAAGAAGAAGAATAGAGTTGAAGCAACGGTGCGATGTTCTTCAAACGCCGAATGAAAAGAATGCCATGGATAGAACAGCGGAACTTTCAAAGGAAATACACCGAAACTGATATATATATATATATATATATATATATATATATATATAGCAATTTCTGCAACACAGAACGAGGAAAGAAGGCCTGAAGAATTTAACACTCCTTGGTCATATTGAAGGCTAGAGAGAACAGCGAGAAATTTACTTAATGAGATTGTGTGAATCGCTGGCAGAACAAGAAAAAGAGGGATGGTAAAGAATAAAAAAAAATACTTAGAGCAATAAACCACAGGAGGTTGTGGAGAGTCATGATCGTCAAACAAATTTCAAACCCATGGTACATATTGAAGGCAAGATAAGAAAGTGGAATGTGCGAGTAACTTATTTAACGAATTTTCGTGAATGGAAAACAGAAAAAGGATTTTAAATGGTCAAAAATTACTTAGATTAACAAAAGATAGGAAGTTGTGGAGAACCATGATCAACTACGCCCTGAAAGAACTTGGTGCATATAAGGAGAGAAATGATAACAGAACAAGGACAAAGAAAGATGATAACGAGTACAAAACTACATAGATCAACAAAAGATAGGAAGTTGTGGAGAGCCATAATCAACTTTGTTTTGAACTAATTTGGTACATAAAAGAAGGGAGATGATAACAGAACGAAGAAAAAGAAGGGTGGTAAAGGGTCAAAAATTACATAAATCAACAAAAATAGGAAGCTATGGAGAGTCATGACCAACTAAGTCCTGAAAGGATTTGGACCTTAAAAGATGGTATCATATACATATATATAAATCTTGTATATGTCATATACATATATATATATATATATAGATAGATAGATAGATAGATAGAATTGAACTTCACTAAATCTATATCTCTGAATTCAAAACCTCCAATTATGGGTTAAATAGCCTCACCAGTCCATAATTGACCAAGCGTGGTGAGTAAGTCTCCACTCCTGAAGACATAGTCAATTAGGGAGGGCTTCCTTCAGCGCGTGAAAAGGTTTTAGATTTGGATTTGGGTTTGCCTTTGGACCTACAAGAATAACAACAATATAGTCGTGATGATATTTACTACTGATTTCAACGCTTAATACATTAACCTGATGACCTTGATGATTTTTCATTGGGAAATAACTGATGGGTGAAATAATTACGTATTGACTGCGCATGCCTGGGGTCAATATCCGTGTACCAGTCGAAGCCCGTTTCAAAACGTTTTATGCAGACGAATCCGGAAATATTTATCAATAATTTTTTTTTTTTGCCATATGTAAGATCTTATAGCTTTTTTCAAACATAAAAGGCACTAAAACAAGGAACAATAGAATGTGAGAGAATACGAGAAAAAGAAAGTGGTGAGTACGGCTACACCCCCGAAGATATAGACAATCAGGGAGAGGTTCTTCCAACAGAAGGCTTTTGTTTTGGATTTGGGTCTGCATTTGAACCTACAATAACAAATATTTGTGATCAATAATATTTTTGTTTTTATTGTCTGAATTCAAAACTACAAACTATTGGTTAAATGGCCTCACCGATCCGCATTGGCCAAACGTGGTGAGTACGGCTGCACTCCTGAAGACATGGTCAATCAAGGTGTGGTTCCTCGAACAGGAGTGAGTGGGTACTGGATTTGGTTCAGATGTGAAGAAAAATGAAAATCCGGATGCATAACTGAAAGAAGACAAGATTGTATAAACGATAGAAAAGTCCTTCTAAAATAATATCTGCAGGAGCCATACTTTCAATGACGACATATCCTTATCACATACATTCACTTCGTTTATTTAGCGTGCAATTTTTTCATACGGTCGGAAGGACAAGCATAAAAATAAATTTCATAATCATAATAATTCTTTCATCTTGCCGCCATTGAAACAAGTATATCTGTGTATTTATGCACACACGTTACGCACGGAATAGACAGCCTTTCTGATCTGAAGTCATTTTTCGTAACGAAAGAAAAGCTATTCATTTTTATCGGCGCCATCTTTTTATCCCACTACTCTTACCTTAGTAATTCTTTTACAGTTCATAGTTCCTTTAAAACGTTTTCCTTGGCCTTTTCGCTTTTTTTTATATTTGCTTTAAGTTTTCTATTTTCTCTATTTTCTCTCGGTGGCTGAATATACCGTCAAACATTCATCATCTTTAAACATTATCGCCTTGAGCATCAAAGGAATCATTATATTGTTGCCAGTTGATGTTCGCATTTATCTCAGCAATGTGTGATGAATGAGATGGACGCAAGTACTAGAAAATATGAGAGATTTTGTCTCGAACTAAATCACTTTCCTTTTTTCTTCGGCTCCAGTTCAAAATTCTGAATTGAGCAAAGTCACTCAATTGAGTGAAAGAGGTATCTAGTTTCAAGCAGAGTTGATGAAGGGCTTTCCATTTGACTAAAGCGTGGGCTCACGCTTGTTCAGAATTGTCTCCCCAATTGTCGTTAAAATACTAGTTTACAAAACGATACACTTTGACGATGGTCAGATGACCCGCCTAAAATTAAATCTATATCTGCAATCGGGTTCAGTATATTCATTCATAGTGGTATTTGTTTCAGGTTGTTATTATAAAAGAAAAGTCTTAATTTTATTATATTAATATAATCTGTCATTGCTGTCCATAAAGATAACGGAATTTGATTGATGAATTGGTTGATTTGTTTTAAAGCTTATGAATTTAAAGTCGGAACATTGTTTCTTATTGAAAATAAGGACGAGAGTTGACTTTGTTTAATTTCTGTTGAAACGTGATTTTTGTAGGCCTTTTTTTCGCTTACTTTTGCTAATGAGTCGTGTTTCTTAATCTGTTTTGTGGTTTATAGATTCTCTTTCTTTCTATAAAAAAAGAAAACGGTTTGCTGCTTCTTCTTTTAGCAAAAGACGGTTTCTTTTTGCCATTAGACTTATTGTCGCATAACTTAATAATAATCAAACTGTTCTCTGCAAATTACAAACACACAAAAAAATATCTAAAAAATGATTTAAAATGTAAAATTCCAAACAAGTAAATCAAAAATTAGTTTTTTTTTCCAGAGCTCTTTTCTCAGCGCGAATAAGACATCGAGTCAAAACATCGGGACTGCACATATTATATAGGGTAACTGAAAGTAACTCCCTATTTTATGTATGGTGGACTCTCCCGTCTTGTAAAAATTATAGTTAGACGAGAGAGTCCATCATACATGAAAGAGGGAGTTACTTTTCAATCACCCTGTATATTACATTTAAACAATTTCCAAGGGTTCAGATAACGCCTATCGCATCTCAATAAGTTATTATTATTATTATTATTTAATAAGGTTAGGGCACAAAGTCAAATATATGTTGTACCAAATTGAGATCGGACTCGCTGTGAATCCATCTTGTTAACCACTAAACTACGAGGAGGGCCCATCTTCATCAGCTAGTATTCACGTCGACTCTGATGAAGGTGATACAACTGTATTATGGCAAGGCTAATATTAGCCGTTTCCTCATAAGGAAACATTTGACATTCATTGACCAAGCAGTGAATACTGCTGTCGGTTGAAATTTATAAAATCTTTCTCATAAAACTATCTTGCAGGAAAATGAATTTCTCAAGTCCAGTAGCTGTTATCGCTCTTTAAAGTACTGATGATATTTTCTATCGTAACCTTTTATATAAAATAGTGTAGAATGTCGGTATATTGATTTTGTCATTGTTTTCTCTTCCAGTTACATGTGCTATCCATTTTGGCTGTTGAAAGTCCTCAAGTGATATAGTTTCTGTTATTTGCTACAGTTCTGTGTTTGGGATTCTGTAGTTCTAGAGGACGAGGTTTCAAAAACGATGGTCTTCGCTATGACCTACAGGCTTCGCTTGCTCGAAGCCACTTTTAACCTTTGATCTGAGAAAGTGGTTGTAAACAGCTGAGAGTTGAGATATTTCTTAACGGGTCTGGTGCCATGCACGACGCCCATGTGAAAATCTCGATCTGACGAGGCTATTTAAGAACATGACCCGCGAAAGCTTATAGAAATGCGTTCTCATTATTCTGAACCCTGACGAATCATATGCCATCCCGATGTGGTAGAAATTTATCAAGATAACAAAACAAAATATATTTTAAGCTAGAAAATGAATTATAAATACCGTAGAAATTGTTTTGTGTTTCGTGCATGCATAACTGCATTTTCCCGAAAGACAGCAAAGCAGACAGTTATTACTGTAATAAAAAAAAATCTTATTGTAAAGTATCTGTGTGCTTTGCTATGTTCATCAAAGAAGACGATATAGACCTGGAAAGCAAGACCCCGGCCGAACGGGACGGCTACGAAGCCGATGATGACGACATCACAGCCATGACTAACTGTCATGATATGTGCCCTGAGATTACCACGGAAGACTACGATGGATTCGACGATGATGACTTCTTCGACTACGAAGGTATTTTTACGGGAAGTGGATACCTCAATTTCATCTCAAGGTCAAACAATGGCTAAAAAAAAAGAAAATAATAATAATAATATAAGCATATAAACGCGCACGCATACACATATATGTATATATATATAAATTGAAATATATATGTATATGGGTGGAAATTATTTGTTGTACTACTTTGTTTCATGGAGGATGAAGGTAGATAATGACTGAATTGAGTGATATATACTAAAATGAAAGAATTAATACATTTACACTGACGTGCCAAAAGACATTGAATAGCAGTATGTAAAGATAATGGTTGGTGGTGCGACCATACTTTGATGTCATAGAAATGCCCAGACCTATATCAGTTGTACTGATATCTATTACGTCAGTGTGAACATTGTCTAGCGTAAATTATCGAAGTTTGAATATGTGTACCAGACTAATGTGTTTTTCTATTTCTAAACTCGCGGTAACCTTTAATATATCGTAGGTGTTACATATTTACCGGAAATAGTTTATAGAAGACATGACCCTTATAAGCGACACCGTAGTGGTCGACCACGAGCACTGAATAAGGTCTATGTACCCCAACAACGATAGGTCACACAAGCACGATAATGCCGACCAATAGTGTTGAGTCTAATCGAGCATTTATGACGCATACACAGGATCCTACCAATACAATTATCAGGAAGCTCTAGACAACTGTCGAGGCAGCATGGCTCAGCATCTTTGCAGGGGTAATCTTATTACTTGAGCAATCAATGGCACTGGGCCGCTGCAGTTTGCCGGGCAAAAAAGGAATCTACAAAATAGGAAACGCCTATACTATGAGTTTAGTACGTAAATAAATAAGGAAGATTCTTTTCATTAAAAGCAGGCATAAATAGTTATGAAGATACTGTTTAATTGTACATTAGTACAGTCTAAATTAAATTTTTTATGTCTGTAAAATAGATTTTTGTAGCATTAACAATAAGGATTAAGTTATCGATTATTACAAAAATGATTACAGTTGAGTGCTTGTAAATATCTAAAAACGATTCAATATACAATATTACATTAGAATATAAACAAAACAGACAGTTTTATCTGCTTAAACACAGGTTTAATTTTTTCTATAATTTAACCTAATTAAGTAAGGTGTCTTGTATAATTTAAAATTATCGCCAGTACGTCATACAAAACTGCTCATTTGAACATTTTTATACCAATGAGATTTCCATGAAAAAAAATATATTCGAATTACCCTTTTAGGCCACTATAGAATAGTTGGTATTGCAAAAGATTTTTTTTCTAAATATTCTGAAGATTTACAGAATATATCAACATATCAAACAAAGTAAATGATAATACATTTTAAATAAAAAATGTTTTGGAGACAAAAACGCATCCCTTATCGATTGGCGAATGCTAATCATATCAGACAAAATTGTGCAGTAATATTTTCATATTAAAACCCAATTATTAACTATCTTATTTATTTATTGTTGCACCTACTAAAAAAAAAAAATAAAAAAAAATAACACGCCTGTCTTATTCAAAAGGTATTGAAGCACCTAAAACCAAACGCTTAAAAACTCAAAACTCGGCTCGACGTATCTCTCTCGAGCTGGTGTTTTCAAATAACTGACGAGATCATTTGGCGTAACTAAATTCCTTTTTGTGGGCAGATCTAAAGGAATTGGTCTACTGCATAAAATCATCTATCATTCAAGAGATCAAAAAACTATATTGTCAGTGTACAAGCGCTCAGAAGATTGTACAATGCGCTAATAAAATTATAAAGTAAATGTGCAACTGCTAAAAGGTTATATAGTTAGTGTGCAAGCGCTCAGAGAATTATATAGCCAGTACGCAAGCGCTAAAAATATATAGTCAGTGTGAACGTTCTCAGAGAATGTCATAGTCACTCTGAAAACTCTAAGAAAGTTATATAGTCACTGTGCAAGCGCACAGAAAATTGTCCAGGGGGATGCAAAAATAGCTATACATTAAAAAAATGCACACAAAACGTGTTGTATTGATTATATAAAACAATACTGGTATGATACTTACCGTATACCTACTTTTGCAGTTCCTTTATAATCAATGAACAAGCCCTCAGGAAATTGTGTAGTCAGTGTACAAGTGATCAGAAAATTATATAGTCAGTGTGCAAGAGCTCAAGAAATTTGTATAAGCAGAGTACAAGCATCCAGATAATTACATAGTACGTTCAGAAAATTATATAGTCAGTGTACAAGCACTTAGAAAATTATATAATCAGTGTACAGGCACTTGGAAAATTATATATTCAGTGTGCAAGAGGTCAAGAAATTTGTATAATCAGTGTGCAAGCATCCAGATAATTGCATAGTGCGTTCAGAAAATTATATAGTCAGTGTACAAGCACTTAGAAAATTATATAGTCATTGTGCAAGAGGTCAAGAAATTTGTATAATCAGTGTACAAGCATCCAGATAATTGCATAGTGCGTTCAGAAAATTATATAGTCAGTGTACAAGCACTTAGAAAATTATATAGTCAGTATACAAGAATTCAGAAAGGAGAAGTGAAAAAACGAAAGTATCTTTGTCCTCCATGTCAAAGCAGTTTTATTTTCTGGCATTGTTGGGCTTTAATAGGGCTGAAGGCGGCGGTAATTGGTGATTTATCTTGTCACTTTCAATTCTTGCTCTAATCCACAATCAATGCGAGCGTATTGGTTTACAAAAAGTGGAAAAAAGCACCAATCAAAAAAAAAAGAAAGAAAAAAATAGAATAAATTAATAAAATTCTAACTAAACTTGAAAAGTATTCCCAATATCACTGAAGACATGTAATACAACATGTCTATATAAAATGTAATACATGTAATACAAAATGTCTATATAAAATGTAATACAAAATGTAATACGAAAAAGATATTGAGCCTTTTACTTGGCAAATTCAGCCCTGCTTCTATAGTTGAAATCTTTATATGCGAAATAAGCATACGTGCTATATTTCAATAATGTTTACAATTTTCTTCACACGCGCATGCATTAAAGTCTTTGTCGTAAATATTTGATTTCTTTTTCAGCCATATTGGTCTTATGGAAGAGTCGAGTTCATAATATGTGTATAAAATCATTTAACATAAGAGTTATCGTATCTATAAAATTCTTACCGTTATGGTAATAGTAATGGTAACAATATTCGTTTCCTTCTAAGGAAACATTATAAGGAAACATAGGAGTCATTGTATATATAAAACATTTGCTATAAGAATTAAGGAATTTATAAATCTGTTATCGTTATGGCAATGGTAACAATATCCGTTTCCTCCTAAGGAAACATTATAAGGAAACATAGGAGTCATTGTATATATAAAACATTTGCTATAAGAATTAAAGTATTTATAAATCTGTTATCGTTATGACAATGGTAACAATATCCGTTTCCTCCTAAGGAAACATTATAAGGAAACATAAGAGTCATTGTATGTATAAAACATTTGCTATAAGAATTAAAGTATTTATAAATCTGTTATCGTTATGGCAATGGTAATATTATCCGTTTCCTCCTAAGGAAACGCTTTTAAAGAAATTAATTTATAATTTCGTTTTTTTTTTTTTTTAATTTTTCTAAAATTGAACATATTTTTCATATTAACCTTTCATTTTTGTAAAAGGATTTTGTACTAATTTAGCCTAAAATCATTCGCTCGCTCGCTCCCCTACCAAAATGGCTGCTGTAATTTTTTTTTTTAAATCCAAGATGTCGGTATCAAGGATCTTCTTATTACCCTTTCAAAATTCAATATATTTTTCTGCTTCTGATCATTTTTTTTCTTCTTTTTTTTTTTTTTACATTTGTTTTAATCATTATGTGCGCGCGTGTGGGTTTGTGCAATTTTTTTTTTTTGCTTGCTTTTCGTTTATAAAACTTTCTTTTCTAGGTTGAGTGGTCGCCGCGCAACACGAAGCCGCCGTTTCGAGCAAGCTGCGTTCAATGCTACTCTTTCTATTTTTATTTTTTTTAAATTTACAAGAAAAAAAAATTATTTTATGGCCAGTGGAGATTTCTATGATACATCATCGTCCGTACCTACCTTTTTTGCATTTTTCCCCCTTTTCAACATTTCACCCTCATTTTTTTGTTCCTCCTGAATTTTCATTTACCTTCACACTTGACATTTTATGACGGTCATTCTTCTTTCCAGATTATTTTGGCGGGAATTAATCCACAACACATTACTTTAATACATTTAGCATGCAGTATTATTAAGATGTATGCCTGTTCAACGTATTATCTCTATAAATCTGACTAAGGCTATTCTTTTGTTATTTATATTAAAAATAATTTTGGACTATATTTTCTTAAAATGAATTCATATGATTTGAATCACAGAATTGTTGCTAGAATTCTTCCTTTTCTTTTTGTCTATTTTGAATTGAAACTAATTTGTTAAATTTCTAATTACTTATTGTACTATCTGCGTGTATGAAAGAAATTTTTGTAGGGGGTAGAAATTTGTTGTATTCCTGTACTATCTTTATATATATATATATATATATATATATATATATATATATATATATATATATATATATATGTGTGTGTGTGTGTGTGTGTGTTGTGTGTGTGTGTTTGGAGGGAGATAGGTTGGTGTATACAAAGTTGTATCGAAAAGTTCCCGGACTTGAATCTCCTGGCTGACTCCATAACATATTCCGTCTCCATGAAACATGGGATGGATTGTTTCCCGACCTTTTTTTCTCGTAAATGAGTTCACGTCTCTTCCTGACGTCATTTTCTGACGTTTTCCCGTCGAGTTGTCGTTCTTAACGGTCGTCATATTGAACGGACACTCGACCAACTTTGAAAAGTTCGTGCCATCAATAATAATAATAATAATAATAATAATGATAATAATAATAATCTCTGTTTCACTGAGAGAATGCGCTAAAAAAAGGAAAGAAAAACACTCACAAAGCATTTCTGCCGAGCTATCTGCGAAATTTGAAGCAGGCATATGACGCAGACAGGTAAAGATTGCAGAACCGTTACAATACAAAGATAGGCAGAAGT